AATATAATATAATATAATATAATATAATATAATATAATATAATATAATATAATATAATATAATATAATATATAATACAATAATAATTTTTATTTTATATATTTATACTAATATTTATTACAATTATTCGTAGATCATGACACTGGCATATCTTGATATGGTCGTCTCGGAAGTCCTCCGCAAGTATTCAGCATTAGCGTTTATAGAACGCGTCGCAGCCGTCGACTACAAAGTTCCAAATTCCGATCTGGTGCTGGAGAAAGGTACTCCGGTGTACATCTCTTTGTTCGGGATGCACTACGACCCGGAACATTATCCTGATCCGGAAAAATTCGATCCCATGCGATTCAGCGAGGAGAATAAAGAAAAAAGGCCAGCTTTCACTTATTTCCCCTTTGGCGAGGGACCCCGGGCTTGCATCGGTTAGTATAATACCAAATCTTCGCTGCTGAAACTCGAATTGACAATCGTCGTTTACACGGACATGAAAATTCAAATGGTGTAGTCGAAATTTGAACGGTATAACTGTGTATTATTAATTGTACAATCAATTGTTTCAGGACTTCGTATGGGTCTTATGCAAGCAAAACTGGGTATAGTTCGGATGATAAGCAAATACGAGGTGACACCTTGCGAGGAGACACCGGTGCCGGTGCTACTGCAACCAAGATCGTCCATTACGGCATCGTTGACAGGACTGTACATGAATGTTCGCAAGATTTCTAAAGAAGCTAGTTAAATCTGTGACCAAATGCAATTACTAATTAAATTAACTTAATTTTGTGAATTAAGTACAAACTTTAAGACTATTTGTGTGATGACGATTTCACGATGCTTTTATCGATGAGATTAGTGTACGATATTTCTTGAAAATTGGAAACTTTAATAAAGATGCAACGATCTGTTTCAGAGGGGGCGCAACGGTTGCCAATCCTAGTTATATGCTATTAACCTTTTGCACTCGAGTAGTGACTCTGAAGCTCTAATCAAATTCGTTGGATCACGTTTCAAGATAATTTTGATATTAACAAAGTTCAGATTTAACAAAATTGTTAAGAGTGTAACTGTTTTTTGCGGGTCCCAAGAATCAATTTCATGTGCATAAAATGGATTTTGTCATAAACAATAGAAATACTATAAGTTAGGAAAATGATTTTATAGTTTTAGTTAAAATAGCTTCAAGTGCAAAGGGTTAAGGCGCGTCGAAATCGTAAACCGTGTTCGTAAGCTGTGTTCGTCATAATTCCATGTTATTATTCGTATCAAAAAATAACCGTAATCGTGATCGAGATCGTAGCCGCGGTCGTATTGGTGTTCCTTTTGTTGGTGTGGCGGCCGAACGTTACAAATCTTCTTTCGAATTTGGCTGCTTCGTTCGACCATCGCGCCTAATTGCCCGCCGAACGTCCTAGCAGCGTCGCGATGTTTAGATCGTGCACATGTACGGATTAAGACACGAGACTCCGCGAGCATCGAAAAAGTTGTGCAATCTTTTTTGTATGCAGGAAAGACAAGAAATAGTACCTGTAAGAAGTGGTAAGTAGTTACTCATTTTCTATAAATTAATAATTTAACAAAATGGTGACGCACTCGCACTAACAACAACGCATATATATTTGCCATGGATATTATAATTGTGTGCTGTATAAACATTTCTCAGGTAATAGTTGCATTATAGAATGGAATAATTACTGCCATTTTGTTGAGATAAAGTAATGATTGTTTATTCGATACGGTTGCAAGTACAATTCATTGCGTTAAATTAAGGCCCATCATAAAGCATACTCGGAATGCAAAATACGTCCCTGTCCAACCTTCCTGGAAGAATCTAAATAACTCGGCAATTAATGGCTCACAGTTTATTTTATTGATTTCAAAATGTACGTGTTGATTCTGCATATAAATTTCACGCCATAGGCTGCAATAAATCACAGCAAACGGTCTAATTGTGAATTCTTAAAAAATAGCTTGTTTATAAATCCTGAAACGCTCTGATCATATAGCAGTAAAAGCCTGAACTAAAATTGACTCCTCCTTCTTGGAGTTAGATAAACATTTTTAGGGCATAGAAATGATCAGGGAATCGATTTACAACCATATCATTCTTGAAAGCCTATTTATTGTTGCAAATATAGAAACAATTTAATATTTGTTACAGCTACAAATGGTTCTCGCCGTAAGAAAATTGTGTATACAGGAAATAACATAAAGTCTGCCAATTTAGATTTCAAAATAATATTCTAAACATATGGAAATGTTCAGGAGAGTCTCTTGCATCAATATCATGTAAGAAAAAATATATTTATTCTTGGAAATATCGAGGACAAATGAGCTTACTGATTTTGCTATAAGATACAGTATAAAATCTGGCTCGAATCATTGACTCCTGAAAGTATAAAAATAGCGCCAGTACACGTAGTGTCAAAACGATGAAACTGTTCGCCAAAATTATCCACAGATGATAATACTGGATTTGCTATTCTGACACAGGTGGCTACTTTGTTAAACCTATAGCGATTACAGATAATGTAGATTTCTGTAAATATTTGATTCCTACACAGACTTAGGACCCGTATGTATTAAGGCGGTCGGAATATTCGAATATTCGAACGACTCAAAATCTGGACTCAGAATCGGTTTTCGAGCCGAGTCGAGTACTTGGTAAAACCGTGCGGTTCGATGAATCGAGTAACTCGAAAGAAAAATATCTAAAAATATCTCAAATAAAGCAGTAATATGTACAATATGTTTATTGTACAAAATGCGTCCAAATTGCTCACTTACATTCGAGCCGCTCGATTTCTTTAGAGCTACTCAATTCTTTCAAGCTACCCGATTCTTTCGAGCCGCTCGATCATTCAAGTACTCGGCTCAGATCGATTATTCGAGCCGAGTAATACCTGACTCGTGTTTTGCAAGTACTTGAACAGCTCTAGTTTCGATATTTATGAATTAATATTTTGTTACAGATAATTATAGATATGATTTCTGTTGTGTGATTTCGTCTGTGAAGTCCCTTGTCTGTGATACGAATCCTAAATGTGCAGTTAATATTAAAGTTGTCGAAAAAATAGAAAACTAAAAATATTAAAAAAATATAAATCTACATTGTCTACATCCGCTACAATTTTACGAGTTAATCCGTCATCTAGCAGAGAGAATCGAAATTAAATCGTTGAACAGTTTAAGCGTTCTACCACTATGTGGATTGGCGCTGTTTGTTTTGGCGCAGATTTTCGGTAGCAGATGATTCGTGTCGCCGTATACACGGTATCTTATGAAAGAGTCATAGCGAATCATTTGATATCAAGTAAATGGTAATCGGTATAAATAAATACCGATAAATATCGGTATCGTAGATGGTAATCGTGGATCGTATTTGTAGCCGTGTTCGTAATCGTAATCGTAATCGCAATTGTAGGCGTAAACGTAATCTTGTGGATAGTCGTCGCGATCTGCTTCGCGCCCCGCGAGCGTGTCATGTTATCGTTCGGCGCTAGCCGAACGTTACCAGTCTCCTTTCAAATTTGGCCGCTTCGCTCGAAGCAGCACCTAACACCCGCTGATCGTCCTAGCAACGTCACGATGTTTACATATAACGCGGTGCTCACGTACGCACGCGCGTGGTCAGTATCACGATTATCCACTCGGCACCTGACACACGAGTCGGTATGCGGTCGGTATGGATCAGCTTACAAAGACCGTCCGAATGTAACGCTAGACAATTAGTATACGTATAAGACCTGCGAAATAACGAACTCGGTCAGTCTAATAAAAGTTTTATTCAGGCGTTGCTACCGCACGTCTTCACTCTTAATTGTGCGTGAGCTTTTTTGCAAAACCTTCATCGACAGATTATCGATCATTGAAAGCGAAATAGTATGGAGAATCTCTTGTAAGAGGTCTCGACTTCTAATCATGGCATACGCGTGACACGAGCACCGATCGATATTGTGATTTCGGAGGTTGTTCCGAAATCATGCTCCGGTCGACAACTTTAGGCTCTTACAATCGTCCATTATCCATTATCTATTATCTATTATCTCTTATGTAAAGATAGCATGTTTTGGTAACTATTCTATTTATTACTAATCAGTGATACACGCAAAATGCAATACAAAGAGTAAGTAAAGCAATATACAATAATCGTCGTAACCGTACGTCGACGTAACCATATTCGATATAATATAATTCCCTATCGTTATCCGTATCGTAAAACGTAATCGTGATCAACCGTTATGAGTCTTTCTTCGAATTTGGCCTCTTTGCTCGACCAGCATTTAACATCCATCGATCGTCCTACACGTCGCGATGTTTATGTCGCGACCAGTTGTATCGAGACCATATAACGCCGATCAGTTGTGTGATTTCGGAGGACTCTCCGAAGTCGGTAACCTCGCACTTCCACACTAATAACGGTTTGGCTAATACCAGTATGATGCCGATATCTGATAATATAGCGATACTGAAACCCTAGAAATATAAATAGAAATTAAAGTCGAAGTCGAAGTTGAAGTTGAAGCTATAGCCGGTAAATTGTTCCAATCTTCAATCATTCTTAACTCTAATTCTCTAAGGCTCTGAGTTTGAAAATCTTTGTAGGTAATTATTAAATTAACACTCACACATAGAGCCCACTGGGTGGGCCTGGATACGCATTAAAAATGGAGGATAAAAATGCTTACTACACTAACTTTCTGTGTGCAGTCTTATGTAGTTCACTGGCTGACTGTTCTATTTCGATAGAGGACGCAAATAACCACTGCGCTGGTGTAGATGATATAAATTTCTATCATATCAATTTCAATATTACTTAGTTATGATTAGTAAACTTGATATAAATAACTTTTTTCCCATTGTAAATATTAATCCAACTTTTTGTTGCAACTTATCAATTAATTTCATTTATAAAAAACAGTTTACAATAAATCTTCAAAGCGTCAATATAAGTATCTCTAAAGGTTTAATTTATTTAATTGATATAGTAGTTTTAATTCAAAATATTTAAATTAGAAAAATTGAATTAAATTATAAGTGTAAATTTAAATATCAAAGTGAATTAATTTACTTAGACAGAAAACGGTAGAAGTGCTTGTTCCTTTTGTCACACCTCTGATTTGTGTCCCGAGTACAACAATACTTCAGGCTTTTCATGATTCTTCTATGTACGTTAGTTTTTGCAAGCATCTCCACCATTTCACTGCGCATTCAAACCACGACGAATTCTGTCTTATCATTGAATCGTCAGCCAATCTCGCTAACGTAGCGCGCTGCGACCTGACTGTTGCTTATTTTCGCCCTCTTACGGTAGATTATGAAAACAAACTCAGCTGTTCTTGTGTTCGAAGCGTCAAATGCGTATTTATAAATAACGTAGCGTACGATTGCATCCAGTGTAAAGTTACTGTTCAGTAACGAAACGTCAAAATGGTAGATATGAAAAGTAATGTGAGTTTCGCGTGTCAGCGTTGTCTGCAGCCGCTGCGGCTAGACCCAAGTTTCTATCATCTTGGAGAACACACATTAGCAGAACTTTCGCGTAGGTAATTTCTATTTCGAACTACATGCATGATCTTGTAATCGTAACAATACAGTAACATTTTCAGCTTCGATTGCGACCGTAAATACCGATCAACACACTAAATCATTATTTCACTTTTATTTTTATTTCTTCTGCTGCATTATAATATTTTTATTATTTTATAATGCTTCCAACAGAACATGCATTGATAATCAATATCAATAAATGATGAGACTATTAATAGATATACAATATATGACTTTAACAGTTCCCATACAGCAAGTTGTGGGAGAACTGGAACCTCAAAGTGGAAGTATGGAATATCTTGTTCCTCCATTTAAATTAACAGAATCTGCGAATGGAACTAATGGGTTCATGTTAGTTGGTGATTCTGGGGAAATGGAGAGTCTCAGTCATCATTTGAAGGTACTTGAAGTTCATGTAATTTACTTGAAAAATAGTAATGTAATGTTTATTACTTACAGGTACGAGCGACACTGTTTGATATCCTTAGTAGCAGCAGCTCTGCTGATCACCCACTCTGTGATGAGTGCACCGATAGTCTCTTATTACTACTGGATCAACAATTAAGGATGACAGAAGGAGAATGGTCAGATTATAATGAATACTTAAAGAAATTAGAAATAGAACAACAACATCAGGGACATGAGGATATTGAGATGGAGACACTTACAAAAGAACTTCAAGATGTTAGGTCAGAGGAAGAGAGAATGATTAAAGAATTAGAGGCATTAAAGAAAGAGGAAATGGCAACCAGGAATGCTATAGCTCAACAAGAAAGAGAAAAGGAAAGATTGCAAAGTGAAGAAGAAAGATATTATAGGGAATATTCAAGGCACAAAAAAGATCTCATATCAGCTGAAGATGAATGTCACAGGTGATTATCACAGTATAGTTGAATTGATTACAGTTTCTTCCTATTAACATTACCAATTTGTTTAGTCTGGAATGTCAACTAACTTATGCAACATCTCAGCTAGAGAAACTGAAGAGAACAAATGTATTCAATGCTACATTTCATATTTGGCACTCGGGACATTTTGGAACAATAAATTCCTTCCGTTTAGGCAGATTGCCAAGTGCACCAGTTGACTGGAGTGAAATAAATGCTGCCTGGGGGCAGACAACGTTATTATTATCAGCACTAGCTCGTAAGATGAATTTCACGTTCAAGCGTTTTCGTTTGGTGCCATTTGGTAATCACAGTTACATAGAAACATTGGACCAGCGCAGAGCACTACCTTTATATGGAAGCGGAGGTTTCAAGTTTCTCTGGGATACAAAGTTTGATGCAGCAATGGTGGCTTTTCTAGATTGTTTACAACAATTTAAGGAACAAGTGGAGAAAGGTGACAGCGGATTCTGTCTGCCATACAGAATGGATCGTGGAAAAATAGAAGATTCTGCAACAGGCAACTCTTACTCTATCAAGTACTATTAATTACATATAAAATATAACTGCTCTTAGTTAAAATTCTTTTAATATCAATTCCACGTATTTTGTTTCAGAATACAATTTAATTCAGAGGAACAATGGACCAAAGCTCTAAAATTTCTTTTAACAAATTTGAAATGGGGTCTTGCTTGGGTTAGTTCGCAGTTCACAAAAGATGATACCGAGCATTAACTTAATATCTCTTTATCTTGTGTTCATGCAGTCTTATACATCCATACATCTCTTTCATATTCACTTGTGTACATATGTGTTCTTTGTAAATAAATACAGGTAAAGGATATATATTTTATTTACTATTCTTCATTAGTACTCATTCCAAACAATGTTTAGCAGAATTAGAGCGTGTGTTAAGAGCAGTGCTCAGGTTTGTTAAGGAGAAACCAGGTAACACCATAGAGAAAACTTGGAGGACTTTGAACTTCCTTGGAATTGATGTATTGCTTTACTTCAGGGATACTCATTTCCACTATTTCGATTAATTCGCCTGCAGAAGCAATGCCCCCTCCTTCAATTTAACAAATTGCATTATGGGATGAGAAACTTGCCAAGTCTCTTTTCATATATTTTATTCAGCACTATAAACTTAACGTACGTGCCATAGTCATTGTAACGTATTTAAAATCATTCTAGAATCAAGCTATGTCTACTTAAATTATATTTATACCTAACAGTAAGCTTACCAGGATGAGTGCGCATTTCGTCTGTGACTTCCACATAAAAAAGTGTGTTTTTATACACTGAAGAAGTCGTGTATCTGTAACAAATTTTAGTATGAAAAATCTGAGACACGTAATTATATCGCATCACATGCGGAACCATAACATTAACACACCCAAAAGTATTAATAAGTTTAATGGTCTCCGCCGGTGCTTCGTAACCGCATTCTTCCTTGAGTTCGTCTCTTACAATCTCGACTAGAGACTTATCCTTGTCCACGATGCCAGCGCAGATTTCCAAGGTTAGGCCCAATTTGGGCGGATATTTCTCAAGGTCAATCAACCCACGTGTTTCCGGAAGAGTCGTGTAAAAATACGCTGGACGGAATTGCCTGACGAACACAAGTTTCTTCCTGCTAGTATTGAAAATCAGTATACTTACGCCGTCGTGGACCTTGGCCACATCCCAGTCCCTCTGCTCGCCATCTTGCCGGTAATAAATTCGAACGGGCCTTAACCATGGCGAACCAGAAGGGCAATCCTCTATTCTTATATCTCGCACATTAAGCATTCTCTTTCGTACGATCTCATTTTGTTTTTCTTGCTCCATGACATTCATTGCTTCCTTCTTATCTAAATTGGTTCAAAGTCCACCGATCGACACCTTTAAGTAAACTTACTTCACTATCGTAACACTGATTACTGTTTGAGATGCGAAACTCGCGGATATCGAGAACCAGTTCTCTATGCGCAAGCGCAAAGTCTTCAAACAAAAATGGCTTTCAAATGATTTGCCAGTGAAAGTATTTACTAACGTAATATTTATATAGAAGTGCACCTTTTTAGTATCGAAATAAAACATGTTCGTATATTGTATTCGACAAAAAGGTGTAACTTTGTATAGTTTTATGTTTTAAACATTGGTGCACTGTATAATCTATCGCGGTTGATCCCACAATTTCTCCTTCTGATTTTATGCAGTAAAATATAGAGAACGATAGAGGTATGGTTTGAAAAGAATAGGTCAACTTGTATCCAACGTCTTGCAAGTTGAAGACATGAAAATTAACACGTTTTAATTAATGTTTCTGTACACCGTTCTGAACACCGTACGCTGTAACTGTAGTCGGTAATGTATCGACGTGTCGACGACTGTAAGCAACGACCTCCTGAAGATGCCGCCCACCGCTTCAAATCCGACGCACAGGTCTGAATGTATATCGAGTATATCGACGAGGAGATTTTCATTCGGATTCTCGAGGGACTTGCACAATGGCACCATAGTATCTTGAATATCTATAATTTAAAAATATTTATAAACCTATAACTATATCCATTTTAATTTGTCATATATATTAGAGTACAAGGGACATCTTTCATCGAACTATGGGGTCCCTTATTCGATCGTCAGAGATTTTGACTGTCTCGGTTACAGACGATACAAAATGGTATTTTAAGTTAATACCAGCGTAGAAGACTTTTTTTTATAATAATTCAGATCTTTTTCTTGTATAATGCTTCTAATTGCTTCTATTGTTAATTCGAGCTAAGTTCACAAAATGGTAGCGAAATAGATTAAAAATAAGACGTTGATATTTTAAAATTCCTTTAATCTTTCTTCTATTAGAAATCGCATCCACCCAATTTTGTCATAAATACATAAAATTAGCGCAGTCTACTGTGCTCAGTTATTTCTAAAAATATTATCCACAGAAGTCCTTTTACAGATTAAAGTATAATTTTGCTAGATGCAAGTTTGCAAGATGGAGAATTATTTCACTTCCAAGTGAAATATTTTACTACCTGAGCATTCAAAATCATTTGAGTATTTGATTGAAAATTGAATGGGTAGGCAAAATAGTGAAATCTCGGTCACAATAATATAAATCATAATTTTAAAAAAGAGCGACGCGTTTCTAAATCAAATATATGATTTCTATCAATTGACCTAAAATACATGCGATCAATTTACCGCCCCAAAAAAGCAACACGCAGTCTTACATAGAACTTTGTATATCCATTTTAGAAGAAAGGAGAATTACCTTCTCTTCATTACATCCCGAGAACTCCTCGTCGCGTTCTATCAGAGCGCTCAAGCTTTTCCTTTTCCCTTGGTTGCCTCCTTCTTCTCGGCCTCCGGTTTCGGCTTCTTTTCTCGTCTGCCTCTTTTCTCCTTCTTCTTCACGGTTTCCGCCTTGATCTCGTCCAGGATCTCCTGCTGACGGACCTGCGTTTCTACGTGAATCACGTCGGGCTTCTTGCGGGGCCTGGTGACCGCCGCCGGAGGAGAGAATTCGATTTCCATGTCGGACGCGGTGGAACTGGACGCAACCGAAGCTTCGTCTTTGTTCTTCACGATCTTAAACTGCAGCGGCTTCATAGGCTCGGCCACGTGTGCCTCGTCCGATGGCTCTTGCCTAATGGGGTACATCGTCACGTAATAAGTGCCATCTTTTCTGTGAATGTGGAGAGTCGGTGGGTCTTTGCCCGCTTGGTCGTCCTCCAGCAACGACTGGGCTCCTTTCATAGACGTAGCAGCTCGTCCGCCAAGTCTCCTAGGAGATTTCTGCCGAGTACTCGTTGCCGATTTACCGCGACTGCGATCCACGATCGTCGATCTTCCTCGTCCAATCATTGCTCTTCCTCTCGCAGTCGCCGATCTTCCGCGATCGCCAGCCCCTTTTCCTGCGCGAACAGTTCTTCCACGATCAGCCGATTTCGTGGTCGTCGCGGACACCGATTCCTCCGGGGTGTAAGTGTCTTCCTTAGCCTCCTGCAGCATCGCGTACAGGGTTCGACCTATGGCACCTGGTCTCCAGCCAATGCGCGGCTTCAGACTGCCTGGAGTGGACAAGGTGTTCCACAGCCAGCCCATATTCGCAGGCACCCTCATACGAATGTCGATGCAGTCCCTGTGCCCGTAGTTGATGCCCGGATAATGGTCTCCGATAAAGTAAACGTACCGCATTACCCTTTTGCTAGGCGTGATTGGCTTATGACCATCCCTGTCGTAATCTCCCCCGGCACCTCCTTTCTCGCGTACCGTGACCTTGCCACGTCCCTTGCCGCGACCTCCAATCTTTCCACCCTTTCCTTCGGCATGCTTCTTCTTTCCATGCGAAGGTCCACGACTCGCTTTAGACTTCAACGAAGTAACAACCGTGCTCTGGGCACCGTTCACGCTCTCGCCGTTCGTCTTTTTCCTCGATTTGCACATGGGCTCCCCACAAGGGCCAGCCTCTAGATCCGTGATCCCAATCGTCGAGAGGTCGCCGCAGTCTTTATCGCGGGATCTGTCGCTCTTGTCGTCCCTTTTCCTCCTGCCGTGGGCCATCGGCGCGACGTCCGGCAAAACTGGTATAGCTTCTCGCACGATCCCTAATCGGGGTGGTACCATAACGGCTCCCAGAGGAGCGGGGGGAGTGTAATGCACCGGTGGACGATCATCCATCGATGCGAGCGCTGCTGTGTTACACGGTGCCGCGCAAGAAGCTTGCGATATGGGCTGATGTATCGAAGTATCATCTTTTCCCTTGTATTTCGGCGGTGGTTCCTTCGGTACGTAGTCCTTGTCGAGGTCTCTACCGAAGTAAGGACTCTCCGACGGATCCATCAAGCCGAGTCCCGCCAGGCCCGGCACCTTGCCAATAGAGTCCACGAACTCCTGTGTTTCCTTGAAAGCTCGGATCAGACAGTCGATCCCCGAGCACGGCTGTTTCGAGCATTTGGCAACTCCTGTATGCCACATTTGTGTGTCCTTACCGGCGCAAGCGCAGGCAGGCCGTGGCCCCGTCGACGTGAAACGAGGCTTGCAAGCGTCGAAGATAGCTTGCTGCCTGGAGTGCGACATTCTCACCGGCACCGTGCCACCGGAACACCCGCAGCTCGATAGCTCCGTTTCTCCGCCGCCTTCCAAACGGATCGCCTTCTCCTCGCACCAGGTGTAGTCAGCGTCGTAGTCCGGCCATTTGTACTCGGGGGGACTTAGGTAAATTTGCTCGATGTCCCCGCCGCCTCTGAGCCGCGAGCTAGCGCAGTCCTGCCTGTCTTCCATCGGAGTTGGGTAATCGTTGACGCAATAAGTATCGGACAACGAATCGTCGACGGGTTTCGGCCGGTGCGTCAGAAACGCTTCGTGATCCCTCAACTTCATGCAGCAGGATTGCTGGCAGCCGGAACGACATTCCATCGGATGCGTCGATCGATCGGTCGGCTGACAGTGGCAGGTAGCCTCATTCGGGTATGTTCTGTACACTAATTCGCGGAACTTAGGATCGTTCAGCATCTCGGCCGTGGTCAGCTCCTTAAAACCGGGATTGCCCATCGAAATACGCGGCGGAGAGTCCGGCCGCTTCAAAGATGGCCCTACGATTTCATCTTTTGGCTCGATTGGCGCGAGACAGGGGCACAGGAATTTTTGAATCGGCGAGTCTTCCAACATGAATGTCTTTCCGTTTAATAGGAAGTGTTTCACGATGGAACTTCCGAAACAAGATAAACTGAGAACAGTGGACACTTTGCCGGCCAGTTGGCCACCTCGGTCCATCAAGTCGAAGTCGCTTTTTGCTACGCACGGCGAGGAAAGTCCGTCGGTTTCATTTCGGACGTTTGAAACGTAGGTGCACATGCAGGCGGGCAATGTAACCTTCGCTGTGCCCAAGAGATCTCTGTTCTCTTTCTCAGAAGATCCCTCGTGATACACTTCTAGGCGCAAGGGCGCGTATCTGATGGCTCTGATCAGGCTGTTCGGTGACTTCGCGAAAAGACACGACTTGCCAGATTTGAAAATGTTCAAATTTCCCGCGAATTCACGATTTTCCGCGTGACCGTTGCGCCGATTTTTCAGAACGTTCAGCTCGTACTCCGGTAGATCGGAGAACTTAACCAAAATGGTTAAACCCTGGACGTTTACGTCTGGTCGCTCCGGTTGGAAGTTCACTCGATCGACGAATACCTCGAGCATGTACAACTGCTCGTCGTTCCGAACCGATGTACCTCTTTTCGAGATCGATGATGTAGACATTCTTGACGTTACACAGGAATTTGGGGAAGAATCCGAGTATCGCGATTATTTGCAATAAATATCACCGGCTATTACACGCCATTAATTTTGTGGTCAATTGCCAACGAAAATTAACCTATTCCGCGCCGACACCTCGAATCGATTAACTTCGTGTAAAACGTATCATCGAAAGTTACCACGGCGACGTTTCGCAGACAAATTAACACGGGTTTTATAACCGGTGTTCGAATTTTATGTTTCACTTTTTACCCTTTTTCTTACCACCTTTCCCTCCCTTTTTACGGCCTCTTCCCTTTTTTTGCGCGGTGGGCTCGATACCTTTCAGTTCGTCCAACGTGGTCCTGTCACGGAACTGCGAGATGTCTTTGTCAAGTCCTTCCGGATGGTAACTAGGTGGTACCAGTCTCCTCACGCAAAATTCTCGCTCCTTGTCCTGGTTCTTGAACGCGAAGAACTGCGGGTGCAGTTCGTAGTGGGTCATCAACGATCTACCGAAACAGAGGAGCTTCAGCTCCATCTCCAGGGTTCCCGATTCGTTGTCACCGGGGTCGATCAAGTTGTACGTGCCCTTGACCACGAACGGCTTGGGCAGATTCTCCGGATCGTTCTGACTCATGGCAACTTGGTCGCAAAGACAACCGGGCAAGGTTATCTCGGTCTCCGCTGTCGGATAAGTGTCTCCCACTCGGAAAACGCCGACCATTATCATGGTCGACTGCAGTTCCCGTACCAGTTCCTTCGGCTGCATGACGAACATGCAGCTTCTTCCTATCATGAAATACCAAGTGCAGCCTTCGTCCTCGGGTGGCGGTGGTTTGTAAGAGTAGAAATCCTGCCGGGTGATTTCGAACACCGGGAACTTGAGGAATTTGATCTTTATCGCGATAGGGAATTCGCCGATGTCCTTCATCTTCCCCTTTGTCAGAGTCAGCTTGTGCACCAGCATCTCGACCATGTAGATTCGCTCGTCGTGACCACCGAAGCAGGACATCTTGCCGATTGACGATTTCGAAGGTTATCGGGACGGAATAGGGGGCTGGGAGACGCGATGGCGTTGCTGGTGTCTTCCGGTACGCAGAATTTCGACGAATTTTTGTGAAAGCTGGTTAATTTGACAGATGATACGTGACGATCGAATTTCGAGCAACCTGAATTCACGCGTGGACAGTCTGGATTATAATTAGAGGTGTCGTCTTTGTTATTCTTCTGACGTTTCCACCACATTCAGCATATATATTTATCCTCGGCAATAATTTCCGAGACGATGACCCCCTCGGCAGCAACGCCTCGTTTTCGTACCGATAGATATCCCGTCATCAACACACGGGTAAAAATCATCGAGGTACAGTCACGTATATCCCATCCACTGTACGCGACTCCACGGCGTTTCTGATTCCATTGCCAGTTATTACTTAGCTCCCATAGTGGTGTATACTTAATCCTATGGCGTGAAACAGACTGCTAGAACCGTTACGAAAATCCGAAGGAAAGCCATACTCTTATCGGCATTCTTGGGTACCTGTCCGCCATTAATGTTCATAGATTTTCGTCAAAAAAAAGAGAAAAAAAATACAAGCATGGTGCACACGCAAAATAAGTCATTGTTTCGTCAGTAGTTACGGCTGGTCCGTAGTTTCGAGGAAGCTCATTGGTTGCCCGAGTATTTCACAAATACATTATTGTAACTAATAGTTACATCATAGACGCAGGAACCTAGTTCGAATTTGTAAAAAATCATAAAGGAACCGAGCACCGTCGCGAATATAAATACCGCTTACAAGAAACGGACGATCCCCCGGAGATCATTTTCACGATCTCGATGTTTCATAAATTGATGAATCCTTTTGTCCGAACGATTGCCCTAACGTCGCAACATTGTCGAAGAGTCGGTCGACGTCTCGTCGCGCCTCCAGCTTCCATTTAAAAGTGTCTAAAGCGGTCGGCGCTTGAATTGCAACACTTTATCCTCGAAAAGCCTTCAGCCGGCTCACCAGCCGCTAATTCCTTTCTCCGTTGTGGCACGACGCGGATCCTGTAGCTCGCGATCCTCGACGCGATACCGAATAAAGTCCATCCTCTTATCCGTGGCGGGATAGCCAATCGATTATAAGACCCATTGAAAAGCCGATTCATTCTCCACGCCTATGACAGCTGAGCGACCGCGGATTGAAGAAGTTCGGCCCCGGACAACGGGGGAGCGATGTCAAACTGAAACGTGAAAAGACGGCCTTGGGCAACGATTCGTCCCATTCCGTGGACGACGCGGTTTCGGTGGCCACCGAAAGCGACCGCCGGAGCGCCGGCGGGCACCGGCGGGCACCGGCGGGCACCCAAACACCGAGGACCCCAAGTATGCGCTAATTGGTACGGGCGCGCGCACGCACACACGCCCGGCAATTCTACATAAAAGAAGAGGAGATAGCGCGCGCTGGTTCGGTGGTTTCCGAAGCGGTAAAAGGGGGAAAGAGGAAGGTAGATACCGTGAACGGCGTTTTGGCCCCTGGCTCGTAGGACGCTGGAAGCCGACCGGGCAGAAGTGAAATTCCGGGCCGGGCGACACACGGCGGCTCGTTAAAATGCTTCTGGGGGTTTCGGGCGCGGGACGGTCCAGGTAATTGGCGATTAGCGATTAAAACGAATGGACGTCTCTTTCCCTCGCCGGGCCTTCTATCGCTCTCTCTCTCTCTTTTATATCCTTTCTTCGCGACCCCTCCGTCGCGCCGCGCGAGGACAAAGTAACGTTCGGCAGAGGACGCTTTTATCGGCTGGCCCTAGAGAGCCGGGCCCCCCTTCTCCGGGTCCGCGGCGAGGAGGGGGTGTCCTCGCTCTATCTCGTTCCCTCGATTGGCCGATTTAATCTCCTGCCCGGTAACGATGACACCGGACCGGGCCTCATTTTCAAGCTTCTTTCCCGCGCGGCCGGACCCCGGGAATGGCGTCTTTAATCGTGCGACTTGAAGCAGCAATGATCACTTTCCGGACGAGATTGGGAGCCGTTTCTTTCTTGTCCCGGTCGCCTGGGAATCCGAGCGCCTCCGGGGCCACACGAACGGTCACTGGCATCCGTATCACCGGAAATAAATACCGAACCGGTGGACACTAATTCGATCGTATTTAGCTGGCCTGCTCGGGTACCTGGTTAACCGGGGACACGCTCGTTAAATGCTCTCTTAATTACTGTTTACAACCCCGATTATTAATTTCAGTATTTCGGTTGTCTGGAGCCGGCGATAACATTTTTACGAGCGTCGCGACGGGAACGGCGGATGACTGGTTCTCGCCGGCGTACCGAGTGTTTCAATTAAAATTAACAGCTTAACCGACCGCGTTCGAAACGTCACGCGATGGCAAATTGCTTTTTTAATTGAAATCGACCCGCAAATCGGAAACACTTTCTCGGAAGTCGATGCCGTACCCGCTCGAATCGCCGTTAATTGCGACTCGTTTTACGACAGCCACTTGTCATCGTGTCAGGTGTGCGGACCATGAATCGTTGTTTATCAAGAACGGTAACTTTATTATCTGTTTTACCGGATTACTCACAGTTATCGGTTGATACGGGAATATTTTTGTTGCGCTGGCGATGTACTCCGCGACAAAATAATATTTATGACGGCAGTTAGGGTTTACTCGGGGAGTTCTTTAACTTTAAGTATAATTACAGGCTTCGAGACTTGATTGCGCAACTGAACGATCGAGCAAATGCAGTACTCTCTGTCAATTGCTCGATATACGGAGCTACAGGGGAATGTAGAGGGTGTATATTTGAGTGTGTAAAATATAAGAGCATCGTATATAACGCGTTTAAGACTCGTTGGAACTTTAACATCGTTTTTCGTGTGAATATTTTGATTCTTTTTTTCATTTGATATTTTGAATCCTCGAGACGAATAGAACATAATGCAAGCAAAAAAGACATGGACTTTGAATATCAAGGTCAAGTAGAATTTGGCGGTAACGTTACTAATTAAACCTCCACCGATACAAAGGTGTAGAATCTTGCTATGGTGGTCGTGACATACAGAGTGTCCCAATATTATTGTACAAGCGGAAAATGAACAGTTCCCGAGGTTATTCGAAGTAATTTTTCTCTCAGCGAAAATGCAATTCGCTGCTTCGTTTACCAGTTATTAACCAAAAGCACTAACCGATGAGAGGTGAGTTCGAGTAGTCGGGAGGCGGCGGAGCCAACGAGCGGTCGAAGCCTAGTTCCGCTCATTGGCTCGGCCTCTTCTCATTGGTCATTGTTTGTACAATATTAATCGATTGACATTATTGAGAGTTAGAAACAATTAAAGATCGCAAAAATCACGATTTCGTCTGGATTTTCTACACTTTCAACCAACATCTATAGAAATATGGATATAAGATTTATATCCATAGATTATCCAAGATTATATTTTCTTTTTCTGTCTCATTCCAAGTAACAACAAAATGAAAAAAAAGGCATTTCAGCCATTGTCTAATAGACCAGTACCTCTATCATAAAAAAAAACAAAGAATTCAGGTCAGTTTTAAAAAAAGTTATACCGTTTCAAAGGCTGTTCACATACAGAGTGTCCCAAAAATTGTCTCGCAATTCAGAAATAAGGAATTTCTCACTTAAAGCAACTTTTCCCTTAGCGAATATGCAATCCGCGACTTCGTTTACAAGTTATTAACGAAAAATAGTGACCAATGATAGGTGAGATTAGCTGACGCGCGAGGGAACTGGTCTTCTCATTAGCTCGGCCGCTTCGCGCCAGCTGATCTTGTCTCGCGTTGATCACTATTTTTCGTTAATAACTCGCGAACGAAGCCGCGAATTGTATTTCCACTAAGGAAAAAGTTGACGACCTCTGGAACCCCTCATTTCTCGCTTGTACAACAATTTCGGTACAATTTTCTTGCGACCCATAAAAAACTTGAATTTGCCGCCATAAATCCTAGAACCGAAAGATATAAACCGTGGAAAGAAACGGAAGGATTCTAATAGAGAAATCGCGGGAGGGCGATGTCCTTCTTCGGATAACTCGGGTCGGATTATAAGAAAAGAATAGAACGCACACGTCGGTCGTTTACACAAGATCCGAGAATCTCTTTGTTCGCGAACGAGGAAGGGTATCGGCGATCAGAATTATACAGCGAGACCGCGGACTCAAATTAAATGGCCGCTTAGAGGCTCCTCGGATCGACCATTGTGATTTGCGGATTTTTACCACGGTAGCGGAGCCGGAGGCGGCGAGGTTAATTTGCCTTTCCGCCGATAACCGTTATTTCGGTATTGCTCGAAAGCGGTTACCCTTGTCCCGAGGAGGCTGGCGGTATCGTGGATTAGTCATCAGGCTAATCCGAGGCGAGCGTTTGCACGCGCGATCCGTGTCGAGCCGGTGCCGGCGTTATACGTCTTCCCGAGATGTACATCGACTCTTGACCCAAATATATACGGTCGTGCGATCGGTTTCCTTCGCTCGAGGACGCGTGGCTGCCGAACGGCGTTCCGGTGGAAACGATGATCGTGCTTGAAAACGGTCCCACGACATTATTTCCTGCGCCTCCTTGCCACCAGTCGAGCAGTCGTTCGGCCGCCACGGTTCTACGTACTTGTTACAGTGCACCGCCGCGGAATACTGTTCGGGTTCATCGGCAATTTGAATAATTCTCTCCTAAGGAACGGTTTCTCATCTCGAATTCGCCTAACGTCCGACGTTTTTGTTGCGCCGGAGCCCCGCTCGCTTGCTATTTACCGCGGAATGCGAGTGCTCCTGCTGCATGCTAGTTTGCAAATGCGTCATTCCCACGGGGAAAAGTCCAGAAGAAGCGTTCCTCGTTCTCCACCCGACTGTTCCGTTTCCGTTTTCCAGGTAGCCGTCCATTCATAATATTCTACCGACGCGCGCGCTACGCACCGCTCCTCCCACCCCTGTCCCCAAGGGAAAACCATGCTCCATGTAGCTGCATTTTTAGCAGCCGGTAAACCGAATACGACCGCTATAACGTGTACGAACTACCGTGATTCGCGAAGAGATAGACGATTAAGCATGATTGCATGTAATTGGCAGGTTCGGTTTAACGTCGTTATCGGCGACGCACACTGTTATTTATGAATACGCTCTGTTTAGTACCAATTGATTGTGAGTTTTGCGCGTTTTAGCGGATATTTAAAAGACTCGGGATGCAAAAACGGCAGCTAATACAGCGAGACAACGTAATCTTGGG